GAGCCAAGAAATACAAGCTCTTGGAGACAAGCACAAGAATCTTCCTATCAGAACAGCCTACCAATAGCCCAACATGAAAAAAGTCAAGATCAGAGAGGGACACGGGGATCATGATCTATTCTTTTTTTTTTTGAAACTCTTTTTTTTAAAAAAAAATATTTATTTATTTATTATATATACAATATTCTGTCTGCATGTATGCCTGCAGGCCAGAAGAGGGGCACCAGACCTCAATACAGATGGTTGTGAGCCACCATGTGGTTGCTGGGAATTGAGCTCAGGACCTTTGGAAGAGCAGGCAGTGCTCTTAACCACTGAGCCATCTGTTCAGCCCTCATGATCTATTCTTAAATGGACTACTACACAGCCTCGAGAATGAATGAACTAGTTATTCATAACAATATGGAGGAACTTCAAATGTGGGCAAAAGAATTAAAAAGATGAAGAGCACAAATCATCTTTGGTGGTAGAAAATAGGACAGTGGCTCCCCCTCCAGCGACAGTTACTAGTAGAGGAGGAAAACGTTTCTGGGGTGTTAAGACTGCTGCTTCTCCATAACACTCATTCTGTTTCACTTGTGGTTTAGGTACTTTTCTATGTATGTCAGACTTGGAAAAGAGGCTTAGGAAGGAATAGAGGTTAGCAGCATGATGTATTGTCTCCATCAGATGATCCAAGAGCTCAGTTCCCACACTTACATAAGTTGGCTCACAATTGTCTATAACTCTAGCTCCAGATTTGACATAACTGGCCAGCATTGACACCTCCATTCATAACACCCCAACTTCTGACACCTCCATTCATAACACCCCAACTTCACATGTATGCATAACTAAAAGTAACAAAAATAATTTTTAAATTTAAAGACAAAAGATTTTTAAATTATATTCATATTAACTGTATTAGTTTACTCAAATCTCAACATTTACTAAGCAATCTCTTCTAATACAAAGAGGTCTTTCTTTACAGATCTAAAACACTTTGTGATTCAAGCCCAGATCTCTAATGATGGCACTTTTCGTTCAAAATGTTATTTCACTTGGGCTTTTTTACTTATATAGCATATATTATATACTGTCAGCACTCAAGGAACTTAGCCCAAATCTGTGGTCAGCATAGTTATAAGTGAAAATCCATAGCAATTTATGTCTTTATTAATATTCTGGCTACATAATTAGATCCTGATCAAATAAGAGCTGGGCATCATGAAAATCTCTCCTCAACTGTCACTATGATGTTAGAAGTCCAGAGAGGAATTCAGGAACACAGTAGTAAGACTGCTTCCCCTATGCTGCTCTGTGTGACACCTAACTGGAATAAAAATCAGTTAGGAAACCTATCTGGAATAAAAATCCAACAAATTCAATCACAACCTGAATCCTAACTTTGAGAATATCTGTGCCTCATCAACTGTGATTGATAAACTTAACAGTCTTATTAATGCTATCACCAGGATAGATATTAATATACTGTTGAGAAATGACCCAATTTAATATGTTAAAGGAAACAGAATTTGCAGCAGTATCCTCAGATTCAATCAATAAGTCCCTAATAAATACTTAACATTCAGGAAAACTGTTAAACATACCATAGTCAAAAACCATAAGCATAGTTTTTTACCTGTCTGTGCTGAAAAAAATTTCTATCAGTAATTAGAGTAAATTCAGTGGTATGGCACACTTAATATATAGCTGAATCCCACACCTAACTTTTCAAGTAAGTGTAAAATTAAGTTTTAATTTCATGGTTCTAATAAGTTATGCTATGCTATAATAAACAAAATACAACCAAACACTAGAAATCTCTCCCATTTCTCTCTAAAGACAATACAGAGGAAAAAATAAAACAAAATAAGCCACCAGGAAACCTAGATTTCAGTCTTGCTGCTACTACTAAATACAAAATATTTATAACATCAAAAAACAAACTATTTGTCTTTGAATTTTCACATCTTCATGCTAAATAAAGTATCCAATTAAACCACCTTTAGAGAGGTCCTTTCAACTTAAAGATTCTGACAGAAAAGTCCAAAAAGAGAAGAGGAGGAAGAATCAACCAGAACTCGCTGAAAAAGCCCATAAATCAGTGTCCACTATGCACACACACACACAAAATCAGTCTTCTCAAAACTCTGCAGTAAGGAATGCTTCAGTGTGAATCTGAGGCCCGGTCCCTTACTACTTACATGACTACAGATAATTCACCTGACCACTCTAAGTCTCAGACTGAGCTAACTCATTGTTCCCTACCTATTAACTTTCTAGGAAGCTGTATTTCAAAGAGAGCTTTATATGACTACCATTACTATTATTTAATCTGGTAGGGACATTTCTGCCCATGCAAAAAAAAAAAACCCATAAAAAACAACAAAACCAAAATAAAACATGCTGCTGTAGAATAATCCTTTTGTTCACTGTGAATGAAGATTGGATTGGTTTAATAAAAAGCTGATTGGCCAGTAGCCAGGCAGGAAATATAGTTGGGACAACCAAATTAAGGACACTGGAAAGGAGGGCAGAGTCAGAGAAGCTGCCAGCCAGATGCAGAGGGAACAGGAGATGAACATGCCATGTTAAAAAAGATACTGTCTTGTGGTAGAGTATAAATAAGGAATATGGGTTAATTTGAAATATAAGAGCCAGTTAGTAATAAGTCTGAGCTATTGGCTAAGCAATTAAAATTAATACTAAGACTCTGAGTGGTTATTTGGGAACAGGAGGTCAGGACAGAAAAACTCCATGTACAACACACAGGTGCTATAACTTAGTAAAATTCCTAATTAAGAATTCTAAAGATGTCTTTGAGTGGATTCAGTGGCTTCATGCCCACACAAAGAATCTTAAGAAGCAGTCAAATAAGAATGAGTTATAAATAAAACAAAATATCTTACTGATAAATAACTAAGACAAAAAAACATCATTATTTATAATATTACTTTATTCTGGTTAAATTGCATTTGAACTTATCACTGAATTGGCAATACTGAGCACTAGTGATACTCAAAAGATTTTGTCTCCGTTGAGTAGAAAACAATAGCACTCTCCTCCTAAGCACAACAAAAATTTTGTGAATCCTGACAAATGAGGTATTTCTAAAAGCAATAAAATTGAATCATTAATGTTTATACATTATTTGCATAAATTTTAACTAAATACATTTTTGTATTTTGCTATAAAATTTAATAAATTGAATGCAATATAAAGTTTCATATAACCATGCTTTGTCTTAGCCCATTTAAAAGAGAAACTTGCAAATGATGGCTATTATGAACAATATATACTGAATTATCTTGCTGCAAAATACGTAATAGTAAACTTTCCATAATAACTTAAGTAATATTTTAAAAGACTGCATATATTTCATAAATATTTTGTTATAAATAAACTCAAGCCATTCTCTTAGAAACATTAAACTTTAAGAATTTGTACTCTTTGATTAGTATATATTACCTGCACAAAATAGTGGGTTTCATTATGACATTTTCACACAAGTACATAAAATACTCAAATGATCTTTACCACGCTCATTATTAGAAATTGAGATATGCGCACAAGTCTACAAAAAATATAAAGATACCTTTAGTAACCGCCAGTATACATTTTCTGATGTAAGACCCGTCCCACCATCCTTCCAGTACGGATTCAATTCCCTTTCTAGCAGTTTGGACTAGAACAAAACATTTTGAAAGGTTAGAATGTAAACGTCAATCATCATGGAAATGACTAAATCATTTGAGGTGGCTAATTGTTGGATATAAAAGTGTCAACATATCATGTAAAAATCTTAAGACATATTATGGAACTTGCCGATAACAATGTCTAACAATGTCATGTGTCTTTATTGAACACCTACTGTTTCTCAGAACCATCAAGTCTAACTCAGAGACTTAGACAAGACATCCCAAAAACTTAGACAAGACATTCCAAAAATCATGCCCTCCGATGTTACACAAGTAGCAGCTTGATTACAATACAATCCCACACTTATATTTAAAATTAGACTGAGAAAAAACAAAAAACAACACTGACCACAGAACTCTCAAAATCTCTTGCTACATGTTTCACCTGTTGATCTGTATTACATTCAAGGGAAATTATAAGACAATCTCAAAGCATTTCTATACTTTGTGGTCTCTAAGGATTTCCCATTGTTTTCAGGACATCAGTGTGAAAACAATAGCATAAAATGCTTGTTTAATACTTCCTGTGACGTTCTAAGCATCTTGAAAGCATTCTTAGAAGTAATTTGTGTACACACTGAAGGCTCGGTTGATAGTTCAACTGTAATTCATGACAGTCATGCAAAAGATAATCATTGCTCAACTACATTCACCTAGATTTACACATCTAAGATGACTTTTAAAAGATAATTTTATGTACCTGTGTTTGGATGTAAATATGTGAACATGTGTACAATTGCCTGTCCAGGTCAGATGTATTGGCTCTCCTAAAGTTGGAGTTACACACAGCCATGAATTACGCACTGTGGGTTCTGAGAATTGAATCTGGGTCCTCTGGAAGAGCAATACATGCTCTTAACCACTGATCCATCTTTCCAGCCCCAATCTAGTATACATCTCTAAAAAAAAAAAAAAAAAAAAAAAAGTTATTTTTTTTACTTAATGTGTATGAGTGCTTTGTCTGCATGTATGTCTGTGTGCCACATGTATGCAGTGCCCCTAGTGGCCAAAGGAGGACAATAAACCTCTAGAACTGGAGTTATAGATGGTTGTCAGCTGTCATGTGGGAGCTGAAAAACCAATTTGAGTTCCCTGGTACAGTAGTCTGTACTCTTACTGAACATCTCTCAAGCTCTAGGATGCTTTTAAACAGATTTTCTACAAGAAATTTACTTTTTAAAAATTAGTTTCACATTCCTTAGTTATCACTGTTATCAAATACAATTTAAAGACATACTTTAAATGGTATTACAAATACAGTTTTTTGAATTTGAGGCAATTCAAATATGAAAACACTGAATTTTATTCAACTGAATATTATTTATTGAATTAAAACATTGAATTTTAAGGCAATTCAAAAATGAAAACATTGAAACTGCTCTCTTACCTGCTCTAGTGCTTGGGCTTTCCCCTGCTCTATTTTCCTTAGGGTTTCCTTTTTTGCTTTGAGTGATGATGAAGACACACTTTTAACAGACATAAAATCAACAGTCATCCACTCATCCCGCTGTTTAAAAGAATGAAGCCATTTTAATCTGTACTTACGACCTTCTTAATATCAGAGACTGAAGGCACTAAATAGGAACCAAAATAAGTGGTTAGCCACTCTCAAGAAGCTTCTTGTTTTTTGCTATACCTTAGTCTCTCCCTTATAAAAGTGCGGTAAAGAACTCAGCATTCAAGTTTATTTTAAGGAGTAAATAAAATATATATAAATGGCAGCCAACATAGGGTCTGGCATACAAAATGAAATGTTAGCTCCTGTTCACTTTTCCTCCTGTATCTATGGCTAAGTGGGTAAATTATATTCATTCTTAGTCATATGAACCAGAACTCAAAATTTACTTGCTATTCAACTATAAGCATTACTAAGCAAATTGCAACATAAAGGGAAGAGAAAGAAAAGCTGAAACTGACACATCCAGAAGATTCACAGACTTCTAGTATTTGGTAAATCCATTAAAAGAGGAAAATGCTGGGTCTGGAGAGATGGCTCAGTGGTTAAGAGCTTTGCCATGAGGAACAGCAGAAGCAACGGAGTAGAGCCAGTCAGTGAACAGAAGACAAGTTGTGTGTCTTGCAGAAGGCAGAGCTAGAGAAGTGATTCAAGACCTTTGGAAGAGTTCAGAAGATCATGAGTGGATCCCAAATATTGAACAGTTGAAATTTTGTTTTGCTTTGATAGTGATTCCTATGAGGAATCCTGATTTCTCCCTCTTAAAGTAAAAACATTATTTTACAGGAGTCCACAGTTGAGAGACTTTGAATTTTGAAAAACCTTGGATTTTAAGATTGGTTACTAAAATTTTAATGTGTTTGAATTTGTAAAGACAGTGGAACTTTTATGTTCTTAATGTGAGATCTTGGGGATGAATAATAAAGGAAGAGTTGGGGTTTAGTAGTGATGTCAAGTTGACAAGGGGTCAGTTGTACTGGGTGGTTTTTGTGTGGTTTGTGTTCTAGAATCATCAGAGGGAGGAGCCTCAGCCGAGGAAATGCCTTTTTGAGATCCAGCTGTAAGGCACTTTTTCATTTAGTGATCAATAGGAGAGGTCCCAGCCCATGGTGGGTGGTGGCATCCCTGAGCTGCTGATCCTGGATTCTATAAAAAGATGAGCTGAGCAAGCCAAGGAAAGCCAGTCAGTGAGCAGCTTCCTTCTATGGCCTCTGCATTAGCTCCTGCTTCCACGATCCAGCTCTGTTTTGCGCTCCTGTCCGAATTCCTTCAGTGTTGAAAAGCAATGCTGAACTATAAGCCTAATAAATGCTTTCTTCCCAACTTGCTCTTTGGTCATGGTATTAATCGCAGCGGTAGAAATCCTAAGACAATTTGTGTGTGTGTGTGTGTGTGTGTGTGTGTGCGTGTGCGTGTGTGTGCGTGCACGCAGCACATGGTCTAGATATCCTGGAGCTGGAACTACAGTTGGCTGTTGTGAACCACCCAATGTGGGGGCTAAGAACTACTGGACTTCAGTACTCTGAAAAAGGAGCAAATGCTCTACTGATGTGGCTCTAGCCACAAGTATATCTGTGATATAAGAAATATGTAAAACATACTTATGTTCTGTCATATTAACTGCCAACTGTTTCCTAAAGCAGATTCTATTTACTCATTCATGCCTCATTTTGTATTGAAAGGCCATAACTTGTTCATATTTACATATGACTAAAATAAAAATATTTACACATTTTTAAAAATAATCATTTCATATATAGATATAAAATAATCATTATATATATAAAGTAGATACACACACACACACACACAGTTTAGCCTAACTCAAGTTTATATTGTCAAGTCACTTTAGTGCCTCAATCGCAGTTCTTGATGCCATGCACTAAAATCGGGATTTACAGCCTGAAATAATTGGCACTTTTGGGGAGTTGGGGAGAAAGAGGGCCATTTTGCTACAATGAAGTAGCAAACCAGTAGTTCTGGTGTGTCCTGTTACAGGAATTCTATAGTGAGAATTTTCTCTATGTGACTAGTGACTTGACCTCATTAGTTTGAGCCACTGGGAACTTTATCACCCCGTTCCAACTAGTACAGAAGCCATCACCTCCTGCAATTTCAGTTAACTAGACACTAATGAAACTAGAGTTCACCTTACTGATCCTTAATTGGTTTAGGTAGTAAGTTCTATGACCACAGAAACCACAGTCACTTTTGCCAACTTTGGACCCACTCTAATAACCAGACCACTGTTACCTTCTTCATATCCTCCTGGAGATTTTTCTTTTTCTTTTTTCTTTTTTTTTTTAACAATTAACATTTCCTATACGCAGGACAAATGATCTCTCATCTTACCTTACCAAAAAGAGGTCACTTTCGCTTTCTATCTCTCCCCCAACCCCTGGCAAAGTTACTGACAGTTGTGCTAGATCGATCCTCCTGTCAATGCTCCTGCTGCTGGAAGGTCCTCCTCCAAGGATTTTGGTCTCAGTCTTTCTTTCTGAGTTGCTTCAAAGGAAGGGCCCTGATGGCCTAGAGATGTGTGAGCTTCAGCATTTCGAATCCCTTTCTTTTCGGATGGGGCATTTCCTCGCCTTATGTATGATTAGAGCAGCGATTCGTCCTCCAGCCCCTTTTCTAGGACAATGTTACTGAAAAAGGAATTGCCCAATCAAACAGTTCTCTAAGCTCATAACTATCATACACATTAATCTAGTGACAATTCTTCAAACTTCATAAATGGCTGCAACATCTCCAAGCTCAACAAAATATTCCAGTCTTTATCTCCAGAACTTCAACTGTTGATGACTCACATTCAAAATTTTCAAGATGTTCTTCAGTTCAACCCTCAATGTTTACTCTTTATTTTCTTCCTATATTCTCCATCCTTTATTCAGATTTTCCAAGCCCTCCTGAGGTTCCACCTTCTCACTAATATAATTTTTATTCTCTACACACTCTTTTGCCCCCATTATATTCATTTTCATGGTTTTAATTCCCGTTTTTCTTCTTCCTTTATTTATTTGTACAACCAAAGCTTTAGTGACTTAATCACCATCTTGAGTGTTATGCTAAACTCAAGAACAATAAATCCTTCATTTCCACAAAGCCCGTTTCGCCTACTGAATTACTAAACTGGGTTACCTGGCATCATCAAGTCAGGAATTACAGAATCATCTTGCCCACCCATCCAAGCTGATTTTCAACTCCAAAACACTAGTCAAATATTCCATGTAGCAAACACTACATCACTGCCCTGTGAGCATACCTCAGCCCTAGCCCCAACAGTTCTAGTCAAAACAGTTATTTGTCAATGAATTTGACAATGAAGTCAAATGGGCTGATGTAAAAGCAAAGAGAACTGGAAAGACATTGTCAGGATCTATGTGTTGAAAAGTGGAATTAAAAAAAAAAATGGACCAGTTAGGATTATAAAGCGCTTACAACTCCAATTCCATCTGTTACTGGGATTAAGCTTACTCCTATATTTAAATGTCCTACCTGAATATTTATGCCTGATTAATACGTCCTTCCAACTTCTTCAAGTTCACTAAATTGTTTAGTTTCTATAACGTGCAACAAAGAATTTCAACTAACACATATCCCCTTTCCATCTTTAAAACAGGAGTCTTAAATCAGATCTTATTGTCACCTTCACAACTGAATCACCAAATACAGCTCTAGGACCCCCATTTTCCCTTCTCCCCTTCCTTCTCCAGTCTCTATCCACCACATATTTGGAGCACTACAGGGAAACCTGATCATAGCACTTATCTTGCATGGTTTCCTGTCACTAAGACTATGTAATCTCTCTTCCTTCCTGCTAATAAAACCCAATTTTGTCTGGAGAAATAATCGTCCCTAAACATTTCTTTGCCATCACTGTCTACACTAACCCCTTTTGTCTTGAAAATAAGTTATGACAGATTTGGCTGGCTTGCTTTTTTCTGTGTCCTCACTGAGTAGAACTGATTACTCAAAACTCTCTTCTTTTTGGTCGAAAAGATAAATAAATAAATTCTACTTTGAAGACTTAGATGTTACTTTCTATGAAGAAAACAGAAATACCAAAGAAAAATAGACCCCAGTGTTTTAAAACTCTGCTCCCTTATTTTTCTAACACAATTCTTTGCTGCTTTGATTTCTAATTTCCAACCACTTTTATACAAGTAGTTCTCTCTCCTTCCCATGTGGTACTTCAGTATTGGTGTGCACCTTTCAGTTTCCCTGTACAGTTCATTACTGTTACATCTCCAAGCAACAAAGATCAACAATGACATCCCATTTTCTAAAACCAACAATCTACATTGCCAGGAACTCCACATGGATGCCTTGTAAACATTTTCTATTGCAACATTTTTCCTTCCAGTCCACTGCTCTGCACAGGTGCAGGGCTCCGTTGCAGGGCTTACTCACTGAGGAATGGTCAGTTGACTCACTCTTTTCTTCACGTTTCTGCTTCTTGCTCTTCTTTTTTTTTCTCTTTCTTCACTCTTTTTGAATGCTTTTCCTTTTTCTTCTTTTTCTTCAGAGTGTTCCTAATAATTTTGAACAAATATAAACATAATTTAATCTCATTTAATTTTAATAGTAAGGCATTTTGAGTAGAATGGAAAATCCATGCTACAAAAAACTTTACATCTTTCATGAAAAGAAACAAAACTCATGACTATCCATAAAAAAATTCTCTAAAAAACTTGCATAGACTTTCTGTATGATGAGCACTACTAATCAAAGTAGTAGCTCAGATTTTTTACCAGAGAAGATATAAAAAAAAGTTTTGGTTAAGTTATTTGTATGTGACAGGTATTATCAAATATATATAGATATATACACACAACCATTAAGTTTTAGTGAAAGGCAGTGCAGGACCAGGACCACAGAAACTAATAAATATTGACATTTAAAACTTTCTAAAAAACAGACTTTTAATATTCTTACAAGAAAAAAAGTGAGTAGATGAAGGGTATATAACCTCAATTAAATCTTTCCATAATGTATACGAAGATCAAAATACCAGTATCCTCTGTAAATATAAACAATAAACATCTGCCACTTAAAAATAAAACAAACAAACAATAAATAAATAAATAATCCTACACCAATTGTGGGGGCACATGCCAGAAGGCAAACTTTTAAAACTTTGTAACGGGAGGAAAGGAGGCTCAATAAAAATAAATAAAATAATTAAATAAAAATAAAGATATGAAGCTTAAAGCATGTACTTTCAGATCTAGAAGCTTCCTACAAATAGTCCACAGATTTATAACTAAATCTACCAGCCAACACAAGTAACAAAATCTTTTCATATCATCATGAACTTGTGGTGAAGACAGATATTTTGTGGTCTAATGAGATGAATTTCAATAATGCTAACCACCTGATAGTGAACATATTACTGACAAT